CGTACACAGTCCTCAGGGCCTTCTTGGAATACAATTCCTGGGGCTTGAACAGCTCCTCCATGAACTTCCTGTTGAACATGGTGCTGATGATGTCGTTCATCACTGCAAAGACAAGGAGGCTCCGCTGTTTGGGTCCCAGCAGCCCAGCCCTGGCGTCACCGAGGGCTCCCACGGGAGCTGCAGGAGCAGGGACAGAGCCCAGGAGAGGGAACAAACAGCCCCTCCCAATCCAACACCCCCTCGGTCCTGCCCGTGCTGAGCCTGCTGATGTTCCCCAGGGCACAAACCACCCGAGCTGAAGGCAGCAGTCCCTGCTTCCCAGTGGGAATAAGGCTGGCTGTGCTGCCCTGCTTTTACAGCTGTGCTTGGTACTTCTCACTTGTAAATAATGATGTTTCTAGGCTGCTCTGACATGTTATTATCTAGAAAAGCTCCAGTTCTGCCTCCTAAGGAAACTATTCTGCACCACTCTTGAGCTCTGCAGACTGGCTGTGCCTGTTCCCCTCTGACCCTGTCAGTCTATCTTTTCTCTCTCCACAGAAGCTCCTGGATGACTCAGGGCTCTCTGCAGTCTTTATTCCAAACGGATTAAAACTGGCAGGTATTTAAGGAAGCATTTATATCCCTGGGTTCTATGTCAGCCCATTCAGGGCTCTCACATCTGCAACACCTGCAGGCACTGGAGCGGCTCAAAGGCAGAATTCCAAACCTTGCAGGTGGTTCATTTTTTTATGTGCAAATTTAGACCTGGAACAGTTTTGTGACTTACTGAAGAGTTTGTAGAGCCCAGGAGTGCTGAGTGTGAGGGCTGTGCTCTGGATATCCAGCTTTTAATGCACAGAAGATGGAAAACATTTTGCACTGGTTCAAGCAGATGCAGCATCTGAGCTTTTGTGCTGGATTGGATATTTTATGATCTCCCTGATAGACTCCACAGAGTTATCACCAATAAACATTTATTTCTCTACCAAAAGAATGGAAAATGAAAATGCCAGGTCACACAGACTGCTGGACAAGAATGGATCTTCCTAAGCAGGTGACTGTTACTGAAGCCCACAGTGCCAGACAATCCTAGGGGATTAAAAAAAAATCTCAGAATAAGTAATGGAAATAAAAGGAAAAGGAGAAAAACCGAACACAGAGATAGTGGTGGTGATCAGTGCTTTGAACTGCTGCCCTAATGATTCCCTGGGGGGTCAGACACATGGCTTCTCACACCTGTCCTACACCAAGAGCCAAATGAAAGGTCATGTCCCTGTCACTCCACCTCTTCTGACAGGATTAACTCCTTGGGAACGTTGCTGGGAATGCTGGGAGCCTGGGCAGGGACAGCTGGGAGGGCAGGGGCCTCCTGAGATGTTTCTCTGTCCTCCCTAAACCTGCTGGTTACAGGTTCCTCCTGCCCTGGTCACACACAGCAGCTGACAGGGCTCCCCAGTCCAGGTTTAAGTACCCAAAAGTGCCTGAGCAGTGGATTATAAATATACCTAAACACAAACAGGAAAAAAAATCCCTCCTTCCTCCCTTCCTTTCAAATAAACTGTCCATAAAACTGATCCCTACTTGCAATCTGAGGCAGAAATCCTCACTATTTCAGGGAGAAATTCAAATATTATTAGTATCTATTTCATTTTGCAGGGAACCAATTATGACAAAAATAAGAACTTTAGCCTTATACTGCTATCAAGGAAAGTATTTTTAAGCTGCCTGTGTGTGCTGCCCACACAAAGGCTTCTCCTGTCTTTGCAGAGTCACAAATAACCCAAAACACCACCGGGAGACTGACACCTCCCAGTACGGTGATTTTTCAATGGAACTGAAGCTCTGTGTGAACCACACACCCAGTCTGACATAAATTATCTCCTGGAATTAAAACCTCTTGTGTGGGCTATAAAAAGAACTGAGAAACACATAAAAAAAATCATGGTGAAGGGCAAATCTCCCACAGTTTGACAATAAATCTGTCAGGTGTTGAGTGATGACACGGGGAGGGCCTGGGGAGCTGCACACACCAGTGTGGCCGTGGCAGGGGACACTGGAGAGCTGGCCTGGGGACATGGCACAAGCAACACAGCAGAAAGCAACTGAGCAGAGAGGGGAGGCAGGAGGGAAACCAGTAAAGCCAACCAGGCAACCCCTCGCTGTGCTGGATGGGATAACATGCAGCACGTTATGAGACTTCTGAGATATTAAAGGCTGGAAAAGGGTGTTCTTGGAAACAGGAGGCAATGGTAGCAAAAATAAGCCGGGGCAAACTGCAGGACATCAGTGCTTACCTGCAGTAAACATTAAACCCTGCCAACGATGCTTATTCTGAAAAAGGTGAATCATAACCCTGATCTCTTGTAAGAAAGGGCTGCTCAGAAGGCCACTGAGATTCAGGAGGTTCATTTCCTCACCCAGCCCTTCAGCACAGCCCTTGCTGGAGGCTCCTGTTCCAGGCAGATTCCCGAGGGAATCGTGTTCCCAGCTCGGCTGCTCCCCTGCAACACCCCAGGGCTCAACCCCACCCCAGGACCATTCCAGTCAGGAGGAGCTGGGCTGGGGTGTGGGCACCTGCTCCTTTGGGATCACCCTGCCAGCTGTGAGCACCAGCACAGCCTGCCAGTAGACAGGGCTGGAATGCCTTCAATCTTCCCTGGAGTTCACCTGTCCAGACCCCGAGCAGCGAGTCAGAAAAGGCCTTAGGAAAATGGAGCTTCCCCAACATTCCTGCATTTCAGCAGACAAACAACCTCCACAATGCTCACACGATTACATGCTTGCATTAAAACCATGCTAGAGAAACACAAATTGTTTTGACAGGAAAGACCACTCAGACAATAAGTTCTGATTCATTTACAGTCTCCGTTAAATCAACCACTGGTTTTTGAGGCCCTGTGATTTCGGGATGCTGCCTGTTTTCTCTCAGATCTACAAGGTGCATTTTAGGGCCCAGGTGAGCATTCCTGTCCATGTGTGACAGTGCCTGAAGGCTGCAGGAGCAGCCCCGGGGGGTCAGGCAGGACGAGCCCCAGGTGAGCACGTGGGGTTGGACTGGTGCATGCAGCCAGCAGTTACTGTACCTCGTTTCCTGTCCACATCTGTCCATTCATCTACACGAAGCATATAAAACAAAACATCATTCGAGACGTAAGAACAAGAGTCGCAAGGAGAGGAAAAGAAATAAACTAAAAAAAAAGAAGAAGAAAAAAAAATAGAAAAGCTGACGAATGGATTTTGTCTCTTCTCATCAGCATGTAGCAATGGAGAATCCTGCCCTCCCCTTGGATAAAATCCTGCTGCTTCAGCACACATCAAATTTTACCCTTTGCATAGAGCTTGGGAAGTTTTCAGTTGTATTTTCAGTGAACAGTATTTGAGTGAACAGCTTTAAGCATTAACAAACACTTCAGTGTGGATGAACCACATCTCAGTGAAATTAACACTCAGTTTTTTGGAAGATAAATATCCACATGTGGATAAACTAGGACAGACCCAATTCTCCTGCTGAGATACTCCACCAAGACGTAATTTAGTTTGAACTCTGAACTCAGCCCTGTATGAACAGCAGCAAACTTTTGTCAGATCATTCTCTCGGGACACACCATAAATAAATAAATAATTACAAATTGCCCCCTCACAATAATATGATAATTAAACAGTGAACCCTTTGTTGTTCGGCACTTCATACAGGACAGGTAGAAGGGATAAACATAACAATCTCTTCAATACTGGGTTCAAATCAAGTTGGTTTTTCATTAAAGCATCCCAAAGCTTCCCCAGGCACATTCCCCATCCCACGACAGGCAGCTGCAAGGAGCTGTAAAGCAAAGCTGCAGTGATTTAAAGTGGAAAACAAAGAGGAGTTGGGCTGTGAGCTGGAGTTTGGTGCCACACGTGAAGGCACGGGGCTGTACAAGGATTTTGGCCAAACGCTGCTTGAGAGATCAAGCAAAACCAGACAAGGGTTTTTCAAGAGCCGTGCTGGTGTTATTTGAATACAACACAATTTCAACACAATGTGCTGCTTCTGCACAGGCTTTACAAACTTATTCCTGGGAACTCCTTCCCGTTGCAAAGCGACCTGATCTGCCCCGGAGAGTTCAGGACCCGGGCTGGCATCACCAGACCCTGAGTTATTTTGAGCCCCCCAGAGCACGTTTCTGAAGCTTTAACCCCCAAACCAAGCCCAGAAGCCCCGACTGGGCTCCAATCCCCTCCTCGCCCGCGAGAACCTCCCAAACCAGCGCCGGCAGCACCTTCGGGCTGTCCCCACAGAAACTTCCCAGAGCCCCGCCACGGCTTCCCAGCGCGGGACACACACAGTTGGGCTGTTACTGCCACAACCCCCGCGGCAATTAATTAACTACCGCCACGGGGCCGCGTGTCCCCGGGGCGGCATCCCGGGAGCGGGGGGCACCGGGAGCGGAGCGCCAACACCCCCACCCCATCCCCGGGCAAGGAGGGCCGGCCCCCGCCCGGCGCGGCTCACCTTTGCGCGCCTTGTCGCCCGGGATGCTCTGGGCGCGCAGCCGCTGGTCCAGGATGTAGAGCATCTCCCCGCCCAGGTTGAGGAAGAGCAGCGGCAGCGTCCGAGCCGACATGGCCGCCGTCCCCGCCGCTCCCGCCGTTGCCCGGCAACCGCGCCCCGCCGCAACCGCGCGCATGCGCGGTTGCGGCGGGGCGCGGTTGCCGGGCAACGGCGGGAGCGGCCTAGAGAGGACGCGGACCCATCGCGGCCATCCCGGACAAGGCCGCGGCCCCCCAGCCTGTGCCAGGGCTTCCCCTCGCACCTTCCAGGACACCGCGCCAGCCTGGAATTAAGCGTCCAAACCACGCGAACCCACTCGCTGCCCTCCCCCTTCCTCCCCCCACCCCATCCTTCCAGGTGCTCGGCCCGGCGGCGCGCACGCAGCACATGAGCACGGAGGCCTCTGGTGTTTTGGGAGGGTGTTTTATTGTCAGGCTGGCTGTGTTGCTACACGGGAGTCCCCTCCTGTGCTGGCTTCTCCTGTGACACCTTTTCCTGTGCCGGCTTCTCCTGTGCCACCTTCTCCTGCCCCTGCTGCCCCTGTGCTGCCCTGGCTCTCGCCTGCCGCTCTCTCCTCTGTTTCAGCCTCTCCGCCGCTTTCAGCTTCTGCGCCTCCTGGAACACCTGTGGGAGCGAAAAGGCGAGGCAGGGGTTGATGGAGCTGCTCCCCACACGGCCTGCTGCGGGCAGAGCTGCTCCGCCACGTGCCGATTCCCACACCAGGGCTTTCAGGAAAAAAAAAAAAAAGCTGGTTTGAAAAACGCATTTTTGAGCAGAGCAGTAGCACAGCCTGGAGTGCTTGAACACAGCACACGTGTCACACTGCCCACGACACAACCGTCCCCCGTGGAGCTCTTGGCTGGGCTTAGCCAGTTCTCTACAGGCATTCTCAACCCCAAAGCCTGGATTAGGACTCGGTGATCAGATCAGCCGTTTCTGTCCTAATTGTGCCCTCTCTGAAGCAGTGTTTTCGCAGTGCAGCTCTGCAGTCCATACCTTGATGCAGAAGGCCTTCTTCACCATCCAGCGCTTGGTGACGCGCCGTGTGTAGGGCGCGGGGAGGCTGTACTGGATGCCCAGCTGCTGGCAGGTCTTCTCAAAGGTGTCGTAGCGCACCCGCCGCAGGTACCCCAGCAGCTTCTTCCGCTTGTCTATGTCCATCAGCATGCGCCGACGGTTGTTCTTGTCCTGCAAAGCACCCAGGGCTCACTGGTCTGCAGACAGATCACCCTGCCATCCCAGTGAATTACTGAGAACAGACCAGAGTCGGGCTGAAAGGGAATAATCAGGTTAAGGATGGGCCCTCAGAATGGCTTTTCTTGGCAGGTACTGTGAGTGTGTCAGGTCAGCACAGGGAGATCCGGGAAGATTTCATTTACTTTGCATTGGAATTGCTTTCTCCATTCCCTGGCTGCACGCTCCCCTTCCTCCCTGACCCCGAACACTGCTTTCAGCTCGTGCAGTTTCAGGCGGTGGCAAAAGCTGCAGGGAAGGTCTGCTGGCTAAAACCTGCTGCCCCTGAAGTGTACTGCTCCAGAGTAACACAGAGGCATTCACCTTCGTTTTGCCAGAAATCAAATGTGAGAATAACCCATGACTTGGCTCTGTCTGACTGTCTGGTTGTTCTCTGGAAGGGAATGTGTGCAGCCCCAGCCACGCCACTCGGGGCAATCCCTCACGGGAGACACTTCCCTGCCCTATAGGAGTGATTTGTGTAAAGCACAGGCTCCAGCCAAGGAAGTCTAAAAGGTCTCTTTGCTGGAACACTTGGTACAGCTTCTGGCTCGTAATAAAAGCTGAATTCTGTTTTACCCTTCAAGTTTTCACGATTAACAAACAATTACGCACTTGTTAATTCACTTCCCGCCTTTTGCCCTGCACAAAGAACCTTTAGTAACTTTTATTCATAAACTCAGCTGTGATATTTCAGGTTTGGGCCCGAACCCAGGTAGCTGCAGGCAGGGAGGTGGCTGTTGGGGCATTCACACAGTCCTGTCCACCAAACGTTTCCATGAGCAGCACCAGGAGAGACTTTGCTCTTTGCCTCTCACTGCAGCTGCTGCAGTGGCACATGAATTAGCAAAAACTAAGCAGTGAAGCCACATCTGCAGGGAGGAGAAATGGAGCTCAGCTCTGCCCAAAGCAATCTGCTCAGCCATTTCCTCCAGCAGGAACAAACCCGAACACCCTCCACACCGAGCCGGTGAGAATCCGGCTGTGCCTGAGCCAGCAGCTCCCCACACTGGCACCAGGAACAGCTGGAACTATTCCATAAACCTCCTTAGGAAAGCCACAATAAAATCCTTTTCTTCTAAACTGAGAGAACCACCCGAGCAGCTGCTGCGTGTGGGCTCAGATCCCCGAGTTACCTTGGGGTGCCTCTGGAGGTGCTCCTCGAACATGCGGATCCTGGCAGTCAGAACTGCAACTGCGGAGAACAGAGCGGGCCGGGTGAGAGCAGCAGCCTTCCCAGGGGATCCAGGATCATCTGCCATCCCTGCAGCTGCCAGCTGAGCACTGCTGCTCCTGAGGGACCCACAGCACCACACAGACACTGCCCACCAAACCACAGCACACAGCCTGCAGGGCTGTTACTGTTTAGAGGCTGCTTAATTAGAAGGGAGAATTTTAACGACAGATCGAATAAATTTATCTGTGAAACTCCACTTGCACTCAATTCCCAGTGACTTTACATTCATTTCACCTCCTGTGGTTCAAGCTCTGGAGGAACAGAAAGCAATAAAGGTGTTTTTTTCCAAGAGCACCAGGCCAGCTCTTTGGGATTTCGGGCTCTGGAGAGAGCTGCTGGTGACATCCTGAGGAACTGAAGGGCTTTACTGATGAGGAGGAGGTGCATCTTGGTCAGTGCAGCATGGCCTTTGTCCCTGCACTGTCCCCACACCGTGCTTCAGCCACAGCTCTCTGATGCAAAGGGAAATTTGGGTTCCATGGCTAAATCTGCTTCATTCTGGTAACAGATGCAGCTCAATGTCCCAGAGGCACTCCGAGCAGAGTAATGCACACCCTGCCTTTGGAGGGTGGATGTGGAGCAGGAATTTGGAAGCACCCCAGCAGGCTCTGCCAGTGAGCATCCACTGCCTCTGCAGTGCTCCCAGAGCCGGAGCAGCCCTGCAGGCCATCCTGCCTCTGGGGGGCTCTCCTGGGGGAGATTCTCCTGAACTGTACAGCAAACTGCAAGTGCTGGGGTGGGAACAGCGGAATAAAAGCAGGGATGCTTCATCTGCCAACAATAACCTTCCTGCTTTAAACTTGCCTTGCACCTCAAAGGAGCCGTTGTCGCTGGGAGACCTCCTGACCTTCTCCACCAGCTGCTGCGTCTTGATTTTCATCTTCTCCTTCTGTGGGTCACAGCAAAGAGCTGGTCACTGTCTCAGGAACACTAAAGGTCAGAGACACCCAGCTCTCTCCACAAACACCCAGGTAAAGGCTTTGCAATTAAGAGCTTTACTCAGTGGTTTTACATCCTTTTAAGCTGAAGTGACAACCAGCAAGGAGCAGCGAGATCTGTGTGCCACCTTATTATCTGTTTACTTGGTTTGCTGGGCATACAAAAGTAAAAATAGCTTGAAGAACATCTGCTGTCCAGTGCACTGGTTTCTAGAACCACAGGCAGCAACAGAGCACAGCTCATCACCCCAGGACTGCTGAATACTTTCTTCTCTCATTCTGATGTGCAATTATTATCCTGAAGAAGACTATGGGGTAAATTCTAGAAGCCCACAAGAATTATCACTCTCATGTATTTAATCACCCCAGATTTGCAGTCACTTAAAAATACAGTAGCTGAACAACACAGACAAGTCTCACACAATGTGCTCACTAATTCTACTTTTTTCACCCAAGCAGAATGGCACTGACCTGACTTGCCATTTCCAGGGACAACAGCCTTCTCACTACATCATCCACGCTGCAAGGAGATGGCAGATTAGTTTACAAGCTGGAATCAAGTCTATTTAACAAAAGAAATGAGCTCAGGTTTTCAGAACATACTCACTTTCCTCAACTTTCCTTTACTCTACAATGGAGCAGAGCACTACTCTCACATGGAGTAAACAAAGACCTCCCACAGCCCTAATCACTGACTGTGTCTGTAAATTTGCCTTTCAAACTGACTGCAATTTCTGTGCCCACAGAGCATTAATTAGTGAATTACTGAGCAGGTGACAGCATCCACATGTGTAAGATACAAAGCTCTGGAGAGAACAGCCATGCCCTCTCCATGTCATACCTGTTCATTACTGGGAGATTGGCATAGTCCTTCTTCAGCATGGTGGGAGGGAGGTCATCCAGCTGGCTGGGGATGTCTACAAAGAGGAGGCAAACATCTGAGGAAGGGCAGGACAGAGCCAGAGCTCTGAGCTGGCAAACTGGACCAGAGGAAAAATGCTGCAAAGGAAACTGTGTGCTCCAAACGAGAAGGGAAAACTGAACAGATCCAGCCAAGCTGGCAGGAGTTGAGGGAATCAAACAGGTTCAGTCTCTTCCCTTCAGCACTCTGGACTTACAGTGTGGTGTACATGGATTTACAGAGTCCACTGAGCTCAGAGATCACAGCATGGTTTGGATTGGAAGGGACCTTAGAGATCATCCAGTCCCATCTCCCCTGCCATGGACGGGGACACCTTCCCCTACCCAGGTTGCTCCAACTTGGCCTGGGACACTTCCAGGGATGAGGCAGCCACAGCTTCTCTGGGCAACCTGTGCCAGGGCCCTCCCACCCTCACAGAGCTCCCACTCGTGACAAGCACTGATTTTCCCACATTCAGGAGCTGCTGAATCTTCTGGGTGGCTTCTGAGCAAGGAATTATTCCTGGAATGATTTCTGTGCCATGAGGGTACGACTCTGAGCATGTCAACAGTACAGCCTTTGGCCCCGTGGGCCCTGACCTACCTCTCCTCCTCCTCGTCACCGGTCTGGCATAAGCCCTGGCCTGCTGGAGAGCGGGGCTGCAGGCTGGGTGGGAGAAACACAGAGTTACAGAGCACAGGCTGCGGGGCGGGAGGGGTGCCCTGCAGAAATGTGCTCACTGAGAAGGTCTAAACTGATGAATTAACTCCAGTAACGTCAAG